GATTCGTGGGGTTGAGGATGATTTCTGCAGGCGCTTTCTTGGTCTTCCAGAGCGAGACCATGCGTTGGAGGAGTGCTATCTGAGCCTCTTCCAAGGGTTTATCCTTTGAGGAAGCAAGTGCGGAAGCAGGTATGCTCAATGCCTTGGACGACAAAACAGAACGCGCTGTTTCTATCTCTGCGATTCGAGCGCGGCGCTTTTCTATGTGAATGAAGTCGCGTACCAGCGAAACACCGCGCGGCGTCCAGCCTGCGAGCTGCTCTTCACCCTTCACGTAGTCGTCTTTCGTGTTCATTCGCCAGAGATCTGTCGCACGCTTGACGGAGGTGGGGCGAATGGCAACGTTGAAGATTCCTACTGTCGAGTGAACGACCTTCACCGTATTCCAGATGTTCGCTAACGAGAAGAGAGATGTCTGGCGCATGTAAGAACGGCCCCGGATTTGTACGAAGAGGTCGAAGGAGAACGACATCGGTTCGATAAGCTTGGAAGATGTGACGTCGAACAGCAGCGTGACTTTCACGCGGAAGTTATCCTTTGTCGCCCGATCAAGAATTTGAGACGCGTGAGCCGTACTGTCCCATCGTCCTACAAATTTGACATTTGTGGTGCCATCGGCGTTCTTCCTGATGACAGGTGGGGATGTCAGATCGACAGGCACTTCTTTGACGGGTGAGCCGTAGTTAGGACTGTTACCAGCTGCATCGACCAATCGGATGTGACCCATGCGCAGCGACTTGACATCCTCCCACTGTATTGTGTCTCCAGAAGTATGGGTGAGGTTGACAACGATGCGGCGCGCTAGACCCTGGTGGAGTTGGTATACCCCAGCGTCCATGACGTTGCTCTGCGTGACCTCGACGGGTTGGTATGTCCCATCGTCAGTAATTTCTTGAATCTGAATGCGGGAGAAGATGTCATGTGTATCTTCTGTGTAGAACTCCGACTCCGGTAACCGAGCGTGACGGCGCTTCTGCTTGGGCTTCTCCGCAGAGTCGCGCATGTCATCCCAACTCAGCAATTTATCGAGGTGAATATCCGTGACCTTTGCAAAGATGGAAATTCGAAGGAAGGTATCGCGCGGGCTCGGGTAAGGAAGACTCATGCTGTGCACACTCTCAAAGCGGATAGGGCCTTCGTTGAAATCGGTGATCCAGGTTGTGGTCGTGGCTCCACTCTCATCGGAGATGCCGGGTACAAAGAGCACAGCGTGGACTTGGGTGCCCTCCCGTTCCGGAAATCCAACAAGCTCATGCATACCGACATTGAACTTGAGCGTAGTCGAAGGTGCTTCGGCAGACGAAGGCTCTAGCGATAGTCGGATGATACCGATGGGGTTTGCTGTGTAAGGAGAGATGACGTCCAGGCTGAAGTCTCGTACTCTTGATTCGAACACAGCAGCGAGCGGAACGTCCACATCGCCGATGCGCGAGAACTCGGGCATGCAGGGTTCTGAGAATGGCGACTCCGGGTTGAAGTGCTGGAAGTATTCTGGTCGGTTCATGTACTGATGCATCTGATGCATCCGTCGTACGCGATCGCGCAGCTTCTGTAATGACCATAGGTGCACCACTTCGTTCTTGAAGTCGATGACGCGAACACCAACGCAGGGCTTGGACTGGCTGTCGAGGTATTCGTCGTCTTCACCTGGAATGCCCATGTTCACCAAGTCGTAAGATGACGGGACAGTATGCCCGATATCGACAATGCAGAATTGGAAGACGACGCGCTTGTCCATCTGTTGACTCATAACTTGAGCCTCCTTCAGAACAGCAGCGTTCTGCAGAAGTGTCTCCGCCATGGTGACGTACTTCCTTCGCCGCCACTGTTTGAAAACAGTCCGGATCAACTCAAGTTGCTGCTCATTCTGCTCGTTCTGTGCATCCTTTGCTTCCGCTTCGGCCTCGGCTTCGGCTTCCGGCGTTCCGCTGCTTTCAGGTTCAGGTACCCACTCGTGTCCAAGCTCTTTCATTTGACGTGCAAAAGCCTCCTTCTGCTGTTGTAGCTGCTTCTGCATTTCTTCCTTCGCAGCTCGCAGCTCTTCCAGCTCGACTTTAGCTTCTGCGTCAGCTTTCAGCTTTGCACTGTAGTCCTCTTTTCTCTTGTCCATTTTCTCTTCCATGTCTTCTCGTATCTCCTCCATCTTTTCGCTGCCGTCTTGCCGAGGCGTAGATGGCATCGTCAACATGGTATCGAGCGAGAAGTTGTCTAGCGTCCCACCAGAAGCGTACTTCTCTCGTACAGGATATGATGACATCGACTCTGTATCCTCGTCGCTGAAGATGCGACTCTCGGGACGTGCTTTGCGGGTCTCGCGCAACCTGCTGAGATCTTCAAACAGTGCCTCAAAGTCTTCGTCTGGGAGATTTTCGATGCGTTTGTCTGGCCCCAACCACGCAGTAAGAGCTTCTCTGCGTGCGTAGGAGAACTCGGATTCACGACCGCGTTGCCAGAATGCAGGCGATCCTGCCCTTGGACTATCGGGGTCGAAGTCAGAGTTTGCGATACTGATGGCGCTGTATGATCTGTCGTGACCGGGTCTTGGTGCAGGCGAGGGAGAGTTGAGCTGGCTGGCAGTAACCGTCTGTCGAAGTAGGCTTGTGCCTACTTCAGCACGCTCAGCTCTTGCCTCTTGCGGGTTGTTGAAGCGAAAGATGTGGAAGTCGCCAAGGATGATGCGGTGGCCGCTCTTGAGTAACCTTGGCTTGTCGATGCGTACACCATTGACCATGACGCTAGCGGTTTCCTGGGGTATCACCGTCACCTTGCCGTCCACGTTTTCGAAGTGACAGTGTTCGGCAAGAATCTGCGAGCCATTCAGACGTATTTGTGCGGTTTGGCCTTCAACATCAGAATTGCCAACGGTCGTCGTGCCCGGTTTTAGGTTGTAGACGAGACATTCAGTCAAGAGTGGATCATCACTCAAGTTGACCAAATGAGGCATGTTCTTTGGTGTTGACAGACCAACGAAACCTTTTTCGATGCTGATACCAAGTTCTTCCAGCGCGGCTTCTCGTTCCTTGTGGATTTCTTCAGTCTTTTGCAGCTTCTCTTCCCAAGTTTGGTTCAACTCGGTATAGAGTTTCTCTGATTGATCAAGCTGCTCTGCAATCTCGGCCTTGGATACCTTCTTGATCGAACCGTCTGCTTGTGTGATGGAAACGATCTGCTTCTCCAACGGTGTGTCGGGTGCGTACTGTTCTTCTATGATGCCATTCGCTCCGGCAACTCCACCGCCTCCTCCACCCAGCTGAGTCCGCAGTTTTGACAGTTCTTCCTTGAGCTCGCGGATCATGCGCGCGTTCGGGTCTTCGTTTACGACAGCGTGGTTCTTGATGCGTTTTGCGGAGTCGGCGTAGCGGAGGGTCGAGAGCGTCTCCTCGAAGTTGATATCGGCTGGGGAGATGGCAGCAATCATGGCTGTCATACTGTTTCCTCCCAGAGAGTCTTTCAAGAGCCATGTCAAGATGGAGTCTCGGTACGGCACTTGGGTACCCTTCTTCTTGCCTCCCGACGACTGGTCTGCAAGCGCTGCAATGACACGACCCAGTGTAGACAGAGACCTGTTGATCTCGGCACCCTCCTTCAATCTCGCGCCAGTCGCACCCGTCGACTGAGCTCGTTCTGATCCGGCCAAATCGACCAGACTGATCTTGGCGACCCTCTCCCCGCTCATGCTCGTCTCGACATCGTGGCGCTTCTGGGTGAGGGTAAGGGTGAAGACGGCGTGCGATCGCGAGGACGTCTCGTTCATGTTGGTGGCAGCCACGGTACGGGCCTTGTTTCCCTCGTCCATGAGGTTCTCGATCTCGGGAAAGGACTGGACGACCAACTTGGCGAGATCTTCGACATAGGGACCGGTGGACGGATGCTCGCGAACTCGCAGGTTGCCTTTATTCGACGGGTTCAGCAGGTCGCGTACGCGCTCATTGTAGATTTCCAGGTAGGACACTTCGACGGTGCAGGACGAGTTCTTGTCGGCTTGTAACCCCTTGATCCTCTCGAACATGTCCTGGCAAATCTTGGGGATGATTCCGTACTCAGCGCCATAGCCCATCATAGAGTACGACTTGCCCGAACCCGTCTGGCCGTAGGCGAAGATACAGTTGTTGTACCCCTGGAAGGCATTGTCGAGCAGCGGCTTGCCAAGATCCTCGTGGAGGTTGTCCTGGCCGGCATAGTTGGGAGCGTCGCGGTCGAAAGACCAGTATGACCTGTCGAAGGCGAACGTCTTGGTGCCCTCGGAGGCGGCTTTGGCGGCTTTCCCCTTGATATCGGCATGTTGGGGAGGGGAGAGGATGGTCTGGTCGCCCTTCATCTGCACGATACACTGTGCATTGCGCGCCTTCTCTGCGCGTTGTTAGTTGCGACGTAATAGTAAAGCAAGGGGCTGCCTACCTCGGCCGTTGAAGGGCCTGCATCGCACCACGACCTTGATGTTTCCTCCGCCAGACGCCATGGTGGGCGTGGTGACTTTGTTCGTGCTCGGAATCCGGGGTATGCGGACAAAGGAGATGGCAACGGGCCGCTCGGTCTATGCAGCGGTCAGAGGCGGGATCCGGGAGACTTCATGGGCGGCGACGGCGGTGGACGGGCGAGGGCGAGGGCGCGGTCGCGGTCATCCACGGCTCAGGAGGCGGTGCTATGGCGAAGTTGTTTTGTTGATTGACCACGCCGGTGCAAGATTAGGTACGCGATCCTGGTGTCCCGACCCCTGCAGCCGACCACGAAGCTTGGACTGGCCTGTCGTCACCTGTGCAGCGGACCCTGACGCCGTTCAGCACACTGACACTCAAACGTAGTCGAGACGGATACAAGTTGAATACTACTCTGTATGTCTTTCACGTCTCGAGGGTCACGCCCAAAGCGCCCGCGTTCGGTACCTGACATGTGCCATGCTGGGGTCATCCTAACGGTGCCTGCGTCATCCCTCACCAAAAAATAATTCCCCAGCCGCGACACACCCACGCGACACCCATTCTCCACGCGCCCACGATTCAATGTCGGCCACAGAAGCGACGACCGACATGTTCGCGCCCCCCGTGAACCGCGCCATGAAGGTGCTGGACCGCAGCTTCTTCCAAAAGACCATCCCCACCTCGGCCGCCCGCATCTTCAACCCCAAGGACATATCGCGCTGCCGCAAGGAACTCACCGCCAGCAAGGACACGCTGCCAAGCAATCGCATAGACCCGATAAGAGTCGACCCCGATTCAGAACAAGCGTCGAAAGGCAGCAAGTGCCTGCTCTTGCGCCCAGAAGTCGTCCACTCCGGTGAGTCACCCCACGGCGGTAGTACATGGGAGTACTGAGTCTGAAACCAGGCAGATCGGACGACCTGGTCTCCTAAGCTGCGCGATCTCGAGCAAGACGGCACGCTAGGCGTCATTCCCTACCAGCTGCAGCTCAACTACGACTACTTCACCTACTCCGAAATCACGAGCGCAACCATCCCCCCACCCGAGTCTGTCCACGACGATGAGATACCCCAGGGCTTCGCTCTCGCCGGCCACGTCGCCCACCTGAACCTCCGCGAACGGTACTGGCCCTACAAGCACCTCATCGCAACCGTCCTCGCAGACAAGAACCCCATGGTCAAGACGGTCATCAACAAGCTCGACAATGTAGGCACCGAGAACGCATTCCGCACCTTCCAATATGAAGTGCTCCACGGCCCAGACGACATGAATGTCGAGCTGCGCGAGCAGGGCTGCACCTTCAAATTCGACTTTGCAAAAGTATACTGGAACACGCGTCTACACACGGAGCACGAGCGGCTCTGCAACATGTTTCGCGAAGGCGAGGCAATCTGCGACGTCATGGCCGGCGTAGGACCCTTTGCCATACCCGCGGGCAAGAAGAAGTGCTTCGTCTGGGCCAACGACCTCAACCCCGAATCCTACAACTCGCTCGTGGGAAACATCAAGATCAACAAAGTAGGCGACTTTGTCCGTTCTTTCAACACCGACGGTGGGGCGTTTATCCGTCAAGCCTCTGCGGATCTGTTGACAAGCGACGAGCACTCGGTCTCTATCTACCCCAAAACCAAGTCTTCGCGCAGCAAACCAGAAGAGAAGAAACAGCCTGAACCCCTCAAGACGCTCGTCCAACCACGATTCTTTTCGCACTACGTCATGAACCTCCCCGCCTCCGCCATTACCTTCCTCCCCTCCTTCATCGGTCTTTACGCCAACGTCCCCGGACATCCTGCCTCTGAGATCAAGAAACTCCTCGCGCCGCACACTTCGCAGAAATTGCCTATGATCCATGTACACTGCTTTTCTACCAAGAGCGACGACAATGTGGAGGAGATCAAGGGCATTTGCGAAGAGGTTAGCAGGCAGTTGGGCACCGTGATCACACCCGACATGGACGATGTGAACGTGTATGATGTGAGAGATGTGGCGCCGAAGAAGAGGATGTTCTGTGCTAGTTTCAGGTTGCCTGAAGAGGTAGCTTTTAGGCAGGTTTGAGGGGTCACTGTACATGATCAGGGATGGGGAGAGATGGCGAGGGATGTTATGGATCGTAGATTTTGTCATGATATCGACGAATTGCGGAGGCAGTAGACGCTTTTCCTGCTTGGATACGCCTTCTAAGTTGGGAATAGATTAAATCCGATTGTTCTTCGTCCATCACGTCGCTTTCTCCCACGTACTCTATAAATCCATCAACATCTCGTCTTCGATATCGTCATCAAACTCACCCTTGATTCCACTCACATCTGCCTCTCCTGCTGTCCCCACAATCTGCCTCTCATCCCCTCCTGTGAGATCAACAAATTCCTCCATATCGAAATCGAACTCGCCATCGTCGTGCACCTTCTTCTCTTCTTCGATGATAAGCTGCTGAACCACAACGCCAGAAGCATCACCGAAATCCATCGAGACATCATGTTCCAATCTCTCGCCTGCAGCGCGCTGTACATCTTGACTCAAACCCTCCTCCCTCTGCGTGACATCATCTGCCTCATTCCTCGCATCAAGCGCCCGCTGAATACCCTCATGCATCTCACACCGCGCATCCGGTCCATCGATCCTCTCATACCGCTTACATAACAGTGCATCCAACGTAACCACCCACTCCATGATCTTCTTTTCAAACACCGGCTCACCGAACACGTCGTATGCGCTTTCCGACGCGTAACCCCACTCTGGACTGTTGCGCTGCATGTCGAGTTTACGCGAGCTTTGTACGATGGTGTGGATGCTGGCTGGAAGGCGAAAGATCAGGTCTTGGATCTGGAAACCATCGGGTGTGCGCTCCAATGGGAGTTTGGATGACTTGGTGCGCTCGAGAGCGTCTGTCGTGCGGCGTCTGAGTCGATGCGGCTTCTTTGACGTTTCGTGGGGTGGTGCGATGCGAGGCTCTTGCTTTTGAGATGCTTTTTGGGGGCGGGACGGGGAGCTGGAGTGTTGCTGTTCTTGCGTTTGGAAGTATGCTTCCATCTCTTTGGCGCTTTGGTCGGGACGGTGCGTCGCTGGAGGCTTTGAGATTTGGGTAGATGTTTGAGAATCAAAGGGATGTTCTTCGTGTTCAGCAAAAGCTCGAAACTGATCAGCCACTCGTCGCGGATCGATATTCATCTGACCGTCATCGTTGACCAGTGAAGATTCTCTGACGCGCTTTGAGTATGACTGCGGTCCCACCGAGGCAGCTGGAGAAAGACCATCAACCAACGATTCAGCTATGTCCGTGTCTCTGCCGCGTCCAAAGAAGTTACGGATATCAGTATTGTCGTTTGAATGAAGTTGTATTGCCACTGGCCGGTCTGCTGGGTTCAACGTGGGTCTGCTTGGAGAAGATGAGGCGTTGTTTAGCAACGGTGCTCCTCCAGTCTTCTTGGCCTTCTTCTGTCGACGAGCTGGTTCGAGAGCTTGTGTGCCAAGTACATACTCTCCAAGCCCCATAGCATTCGACCTTTGCTTTGGTGGTGCAAATGGTGTATTTACATAGGTCGGTTGAGTGCGTCGATTACGAGGGACTGACGTTACTGGAGAGGTCAACCGCTGCGAGCCTGCTCCAAAGTGATTGTGGTCTGTGAGTCCTGACTTGATGGAGTTGATGTCAGATCGTGCGAAATGGCTCGACAAGGCGTTCTGTGGCGGAGCACCGAGACGCTCGTGACGATCTCGACTGTCCGTGTCCCGCTCTTGTGTCCTGTCGTTGAGAGTACCAGCTTCTGAACTAGGGTGCGACATATGCTGGATACTACGCTCCAGCTCGGCGTCCAAAGAAGACCTCATATTCGTCTTTGACAAAGTCTGAGGCGTCAGGGGCGCCGCTGACAATGGACGACGTGGAGTAACAGCAGGGCTGGGAGAGGTAAGATGCGAGTCACCGCCTCTCTGGCTTTTGGCAGGGCTCAGCAGCTGTTCATTATTGACAGCTTGCTTGGGCTTAATCGTAGTGTTCATTCGAGCAATGGTCCATGGATTAGACACCTCCACTGCGCGTAGACCCTTCTCATCTTCCTCTTCGACCACAGGTGCTGGGTTTTCTTGCAGAAACTCTAGGTCGTCCTCATCAATACCATACATGCTGGACCTCCAGCGTGGCAGCGCTTGAGCTGGATCAGTCGGAGGTTGCTCATACCGCGTTGTAGGTCCATCCTCGTGTATCATCATGGAGCTTTCGACCTGACTCGGTAGCTCCTCAAATTGTGGCTCATATTGCTGCTGTGCAGAGGTCGGTATCTCAGCATCCTGAATATCTGGAATATCCTGGATGGCCTCAGGATAGTAAGCTCCGAGCAGCTTATCCACGACCGCAACAACCACTTCGCTGTTATCGAGCATGACGTCGTCTTTGGCTGGCTCAATGTTGGGGTCGTAACTGTCAGGCGGACAAAGGATGTTCATGCAAAAGAACGGGTCCTTGACGCCAGCCAGCGAAGGCGTTGATTTGCGGAGTCGCTCCTTGTAAGTTGTGATGATCCGCTTGATAGTACCACGACTGTTCGACACAGGCCTTGCATCGATCGAGACGAACGCCCCTTGATGGGCTATCTTCGGTCCGCTTGCACCTGGCTTGGGCAGGAAAGCATGAATCTCAAAGCCATCGGCCTCTAAAGCAGTCCAGTCACACTGCAGAGCGCAATCCTTACCGATGACTTTAAGAACTGCATCTTCGACGTTGGCATCGGCCTTCGGCGCATAGACGAAGTCGCCATTGTTATTCTTCGCTTTCAGTACGCGAAGCCTAAAGCGTATAGTAGGCCTGGCCAGTGCATAGGCTTGCATCAGCCGCCGGATCTTCGCAAGCATTTTCGCTGAGTTCTTGATCGCTGTCTCCTTTCGGACGGGTATGAAGTCAAAGAACTTGGTAACCTTGACCGTCGTGCCGACTGGATGGGAGTCGTGTTCAGTGCTGCATACATTAGTCCGTGATAGCTATCCGTGAGATTACCATTGATGTCTTACGAAGCCAGCTCGCCGTTCCGATCATACTTCAGCTTGACAGCAACTGGCTCTCCTTCTACTCGAGTAGTGACAGAAAGCGAGCCACTCATGTCGGCCATGCTTGATAGTGCCTCACCACGAAAGCCCAACCATTTCCCTCCGACCTCTCTCAAGTCATGAAAGTCTCTAATCTTGCTGGTGCAGTAGCGGCGACATACAAGAGGGCGATCTTCAGCTGGTATACCATGGCCATCATCTTTGACTTGGATAGAGTCGACCGTGTTAGCTGTGATGTCCACGAATATGCTCTTCGCTCGCGCATCTAGAGCGTTGTCTATGAGCTCCTTGACGACGGAACTGGGATCAACGAGGACCTGTCCGGAACCGATCTGTCGCGTTGTCGTTGGTGGGAGAGCCGCGATGCTGGGTACCGCAACACTGTCGAGGTCTTCCGCCATGCTGGTAGGAGCGGGAATGAACTTGCGGAGGTCCCATCGGTGGCAGAAGATTGAGCTCGAGTGAGACTCATGGTTTGGTAGTCGGTGCCTCTATCGTGCCTACCTCTTCCACCGAAGTCGCGTCCGACGTGGAAAGAGCCCGACGCGACGCGCCGACTGCTTCGCGTGCGCACTCATCTCGTCTACATTGGTCTTTGCTATGTAAGAAACGCTGCGTGAATCGCGTGTTCATACGCGATGTTTAGGTGTTAATAGAGATGAGTTTAGCGTGCGTCATCGCGTGCTCTCAAACTGGCTCTCAAAGTATCCAATCACAGCGTAGATAGCCTTGGGGTGCGGGAAGACTTCCAGAGCTCTTAAGAGGGCCCGTTGCCGCGATTACTATCGCTGTACGCATCTGACTGTGTGTTTTTTTACCATCTGAGTTTCGCGCAAGACGAATTCCAGCCTGCTGTACAGTCGCGTTGAGCTTCACACTTTCCTACCGTCTGAAACTTTTTCCAGGTTTACAACATACATAGAAGGTATACTTTGCGCACCATCGCTGCGAGACTTTAATTCATGCTAACTACGTAGTCTGTTTATACGAATTCTATACCATGGCTTATGCGACGGATGCTGCACGGTGGCGAGCCCTTTCGACACGAGACGCAGACGCGAATGGGCACTTCATTTACTCCGTCAAATCTACCCGAATCTACTGTCGGCCAACGTGTCCTGGACGACTAGCGAGGAGAGCAAATGTCGGATTTTATGCGACACCACTAGAAGCAGAGGCAGCTGGGTTCAGGGCTTGCAAGAGATGCAAGCCCAACACCGTACTCGAAGATCCACAGGAGCGGGCGGTAGAAAAAGCATGTGTATTGATTGATGAAGCCTTAAAGAACGAGGACGCCAGCGCATTGAGACTGCAAGATCTAGCCAAGAAGGTCAATCTCACGCCGCGGTACTTCCATAAGATCTTCAAGGACAAGACAGGATTGACACCGAAGGAGTACGCAAAGAGAAAGGCGACCGAGCGCGACAGCCCCAGCACGGTATCGACATCGGTGACAGCAGCAGATGGAAGTAACCAGTCTTGGGATTGGGATACGTTTGATTTCAACGATCTAGTCGACTTGGGTACAGACGCGAATGCCCTCAACACGGATGATCCCGCCGTACTCGAAGGGCAATTGTCTATGATCAATCCCGATCTCGACTTTGACATGACCAACTTTATCCAGTCTTGGAGCGACAGCTATGCGTTCGGCCACTCGGTCTCGTGGCCTGCCGGCTGCGACAACCTTGCCGACCCCTTCCTAGGGTTGCCAGACACTATGGGTTTGTACGAGAAGGCGAGGCCGTCCGTCTCCACACTCGAGTTGGATGCTGCGGCCTTGTTCGACAGCGATAGCGCAAGCAGTACTCTGCAGACGTAGCCTCCGTAGCGTCAATACATAATATGACATGCGCATCTCTCAAGATGTCGCATTGTGCCCATATCATCACACCTGCTCGCGCGACATGACGCATCCATACCGCCGAGTTGACATCGCGCGTCGTGTACGTCACGCGTTGTGTGTAGCGGTCGCTTAGCACATCGTAAATAACAGGCACCTAATCTTTGCATCG